ATTGTGGATTACACTCACACAACAAGACTTTAATATTTACACCATAAATAATATGTTCAGTTATACAAATAGTTTTTGATCGCATGTCTGCATGCATGACATCATAGTGATAAGTGGTGATTACTAGTGTATTGTTATCACACTCACTTTGCAACACAGAATGGACAGACCCCACTTTATGGAGCTTCACTTGAAGGTCATGTGGCAAATAGTGAGACTACTGCTGGAGAAGAGAGCTGATGTCAGCATCTGTGACAAGGTAAGAAATGCAACACAGATACAATGCCTCTTTAACTCTCAGCACACATTCACAGTGAGGGTCACGGTACATTAATGGAACTCCTGCCACAACAGGCAACTAACGGTCAACCGAAGAGCCAATACCTTTAAACTAAAGTACTCATTAAACAGTGCTGTTTTAGCTTGTCCCACCTTTGGCAGTGCAGTTTCATTTGGCAATAGCGTAAAACTGGGATTTACTTTGAGAGAAAAATAATAATTGGGAACTTTTAATAAGCACACAATTTACCCGCAATATACGGTGGAGAGTGTAAGACATAACTCACATGGTGCAGTTTGCAACGAATCTCAATTGTCTAACACAACATGTTTTGATGTGTGCGCATAATATGACACCATGGGGGTTGACGGGGTTCTTTTTCTTAGGAATAGGAGGTAGAGAGACCAAATCTTTTAGTGACACAGAATGTTACTCTTTGTTTGCAGAATGGTTGTAGTCCAGTGTATGGAGCCAGCCAGAATGGCCACACAGATGTAGTGGACCTACTAGTCCAGGCAGGAGCTGACATCCACCTGGCCACCACTGAGGTATACATTAATACACACAGTGTCCTCCTCAGCAGTAATAGTAGTTGTGAGACTGACTAATGTCAGACTCATTGAGTGTGTCTCTCTCCACTGAATGAACTCCTCTTCTGTTGTCTCTACATATTCACAAAGTATGGCAGTGTTCCTCTGGGGATAGCTGCTGCAAAGGACATACTGAGACTGTCCAGAGACTGTTGGAGTTAGGAGCAAACCCCAACCACCAGAACAAGGTGATAACTGACTGTCACATCATCATTGTGGATTACACTCACACAACAAGACTTTAATATTTACACCTATAATATGTTCAGCTATACAAATCATTTTTGATGCATGTCTGCATGCATGACGTCATAATGATAAGTGGTTGTTTCGAGATTACTAGTGTATTGTTTAACACCACATGTTTTGATGTATGCACATATATGACACCATGGGGGTTGACGGGGTTCTTTTTCTTAGGAATAGGAGGTAGAGAGACCAAATCTTTTAGTGACACAGAATGTTACTCTTTGCTTGCAGAATGGTTGTAGTCCAGTGTATGGAGCCAGCCAGAATGGCCACACAGATGTAGTGGACCTACTAGTCCAGGCAGGAGCTGACATCCACCTGGCCACCACTGAGGTATACATTAATACACACAGTGTCCTCCTCAGCAGTAATAGTAGTTGTGAGACTGACTAATGTCAGACTCATTGAGTGTGTCTCTCTCCACTGAATGAACTCTCTCTTCTGTTGTCTCTACATATTCATAAAGTATGGCAGTGTTCCTCTGGGGATAGCTGCTGCCAAAGGACATACTGAGACTGTCCAGAGACTGTTGGAGTTAGGAGCAAACCCCAACCACCAGAACAAGGTGATAACTGACTGTCACATCATCATTGTGGATTACACTCACACAACAAGACTTTAATATTTACACTATAAATATGTTCAGCTATACAAATCATTTTTGATCGCATGTCTGCATGCATGACATCATAATGATAAGTTGTTGTTTCGAGATTACTAGTGTATTATTTAGTTTAACACCACATGTTTTGATGTATTCTCATATGACACCATGGGGGTTGACGGGGTTCTTTTTCTTAGGAATAGGAGGTAGAGAGATCAAATCTTTTAGTGACACAGAATGTTACTCTTTGCTTGCAGAATGGTTGTAGTCCAGTGTATGTAGCCAGTGAGTATGGCCACACAGATGTAGTGGACCTACTAGTCCAGGCAGGAGCTGACATCCACCTGGCCACCACTGAGGTATATCAGAGCGTCGGTAGACGCTCCTCTCGAATCTAAAGTTTGTGCACATTGCTCACAAGACATTGCCTTCAGTGACCAACATGGGTGTGTGTAAAGTCTATCACCTCTCCTATAAATGCAGCTGCCCCTGAAAACAAACACTGAATTTGTGATCCTTTGCTTACTTGTAAAACAGTCGAAAACATAAAAAGAACTGACTTTGGCAATTATGCTGCTGATTAATTTCATAAAGCTTGAATACGGACAGAATCCCAAGGTTTTATCCATTGTTGATGCAATGTGATTTTGGTAAAGAATGATGATGCAAGAACTTGACTTCAAAACATCCTCAAACGCCTATCGAACTTTGCTCAATAATAATCTGTGGTGCTTGCCAGAAAGAAATGAATATGAAAGACCTTGCCTTTGATATTATGTCATCTAATATCAGAAGGCAAGAGTCCCAAGGTTTTATCCATTGTTGATGCAATGTGATTTTGGTAAAACATGATGATGCAAGAACCTGACTTCAAACACCCTCAAAACGCAATGAAAAGCAATTGCCTTGACATACACTGACTATCATCTGCTTTCAAATTTGATGATTATCGCTCTACAACCTTAATGACAAATAGCCACTGCACAAACACCCATTTCAAATCTGATCCTATTCTCTTCAAGAAATGATAAGCCCCCCGACTATGGACAAGTGAAAGACGAGCAACACTTGCCTCAAATCTATCTTGTGTACCGACTATCAACTGCTTGTTTGTATGTAGTTGCCAAACAGCATCAATACCAAGTCATCGAAATGGCACTTTGCTCAATAATAATCTGTGGTGCTTGCCAGAAAGAAATGAAATATGAAAGACCTTGCCTTTGATATTACACTTAAAATCATCAGCAACAGAATAATTGCTGACAATGTCTAATTGTAAAATAGATGTGTAACAATGGATCAATCAGCTTCTATGACTACTAGCAAAACACACTATGGGTGTAAATATCATTCAACACAGACCCACCCAAACCTCCCCTATATCACATCGTTCTGGTGAACAGTGAAACCATTGTTCTGAAAAAGAATCGATATACCTCTCGAATCTAAAGTTTTGCTGACATTCCTCACAAGACATTGTCTTTCAGTGACCAACATGGGTGTGTGTAAAGTCTATCCCCTCTCCTATAAATGCAGCTGCCCCTGAAAACAAACACTGAATTTGTGATCCTTTGCTTACTTGTAAAACAGTCGAAGACATAAAAAAGAACCGACTTTGACAATTATGCTGCTGATTAATTTCATAAAGCTTGAATACAGACGGAATCCCAAGGTTTTATCCATTGTTGATGCAATGTGATTTTGGTAAAGAATGATGATGCAAGAACTTGACTTCAAACATCCTCAAAACGCCTATCGAACATTGCTCAATAATATTCTGTGAGTGCTCCCTGACTTGTAATATCACAAAACTGTCCATAAAGACTTAGTCATGAACTGTACCAAAAAGGCTCTTCTCTCTCATCAGGTTAGAATTGCCTCCATTGCTCTCCTGTGGATTTGAGAACAAACTGAAGGATGAAAAGCAATTGCCTTGACATACACTGACTATCATCTGCTTTCAAATTGGATGACTTTCGCTCTACAACCTTAATGACAAGTATTGCACAAACACTCATTTCAAATCTGATCATTTTCTCTTCAAGAAATGATAAGCACCCCGGCTATGAACAAGTGAAAGACGAACAACACTTGCCTCAAATCTATCTTGTGTACTGACTAGTTTGAAACTGCTTGTTTGAAACTATTAATATGTAGTTGCCAAACAGCATTATTCATCAATACCAAGTCATCGAAATGGCACATACAAGTGACTATGTGCTGTGCAAATGGCAACATTGAACTCATTTCCCAATATCAACGTGCTTCATCCCACAACTCCTACAACAACTGACTACAAAGAACCATCTACTCTGTCCCTGCATCCCCCAATTGGCTTTAAACTGTGCTGAACTCTAACTGAAAAGAGAAATCCCACAGAACTGATCAAACCTATGATGAAAAAGAGATTATCCGTTGACAATTAGTCATCTTCTCTTCAAGCCTCCCTAGAGCAATGATCAATTCCACTTGCCTTGAAACAAAAGAATCTCTCCATCTTGTGTAGCTACTAACTTTTATCTGCTGTGGAAACTGGTTAACCAAAACAATGATAATCAATTATTCACACACTCAATGGCCAAAAATCATTGATCCTGAAAATAGTCATTATGATGCTGTGGTAATCGCCAACATGAACTCTGATCTCATAATGAATACTGCATAGAATTGCTTTACCTCAGAGCTCCTACACCAATGGACTTCAAATGACTGCCTGCTCTTCCCCTAAATCCCCATACCCTATGCCTCCCTAACATGAAATGATTCTACTTGCCCCGAAAACAAAGAAATTCCATCTTGTATACCTACTAGCTATCATCTGCTTGCAAGAAATAGTTGTCAAACAGCTTCAAATACTAAGTCGTTGAAGCAGAATTAAGTGACTATGCACTTCGATTGCTATCCATTGAATTCTGTTCCCAACATAATTATGAGCTTAGATTTACAACTCATATTATGGCAACTGTACAAAGAATTGGCTGCCTTCTCCCCTGAACGCCAAATTGACTGTTTATTGAACTCAACTGTAGAGAGAAACAAGATATTACCCATGTTGACAAAGAGTCATCATTTAGTAATACCTGCCTTCCTAACAAGAGATTCCATCTTGTATACCAACTATCACCAGCTTGCAAAAAAATAGTTGTAAACAGCATCAAATACCAGCAGAATTTTACACAAGTGACTATGCACTTTGATTGCCCCTGAATTCTGTTCCCAACATAATTATGAGCTTAGATTCACAACTCATATGCCAACTGTACAAAGAATAGGCTGATTTCTTCCCTGACCCCCCAATCGACTGTTTATTGAACTCTTAACTATAGAGAGAAACAACACAAACTGATCAATCCTCTCATGAAAAGGATGGACAATCAATGAGTTGACAATGAGTCACTGTGTTTCATTTTCCCTAAATGATAAGCCTCCTTCCTTGTGATGAACAAATGGACAATGAGCAACGATCACTTCTCTAAGTGAAGAACTCAATCTTGTGTATATAATTATAGTGACTTGCTGAGAATAGGTTATTGCCCACTTTGAACTCTGATCGCAAAATGAACATCAATACTGCTTTATCCCAGAACTACTACACCAATTGACTACAAATGACTACCTGCTCTTCCCCTAAACACCCAATCGACTGTAATGAACTCTTGAAAGAAAAGCCACACAAAACTGATCAATCCTTAATAACAGTCATGAAAAGGATAGACAATAGAGATTACCCATGTTGACAAAGAGTCATCATTTAGTAATACCCTATACCTCCCTAACATGAAAAGATTCTATATACTTGCCCCGAAAACAAATAAATTCCATCTTGTATACCGACTATCATCTGCTTGCAAAAAATAGTTGCCAAACAGCATCAAATACCAAGTCATTGAAGCAGAATTTTACACAAGTGACTATGCACTTCGATTGCTATCCATTGAATTCTGTTCCCAACATAATAATGAGCTTAGATTCACAACTCATATGCCAACTGTACAAAGAATAGGCTGCTTACTGAAATCAGGGGTAGGTTTAGTTCTTACATCTCCCTGGTCAGAAGGGTCCCTAAAAACTAACTGAAGAGGAGGGTGTCTCCCATGACCCCCCAATTGACTGTTTATTGAACTCAACTGTAGAGAGAAATAACGCAAACTGATCAATCCTGTCATGAAAAGGATGGTAAATCAATTATCCGAGTTGGCAATTTATTTTATCATGTTTCATTTCCCCAAATGATAAGTCTTCCTCCTTGTGATGAACGAATAGACAATGAGCAAGAGTCACTTTCACTTGTTTCTCTAAACAAAGAAACTCAATTTTGTGTACTAACTTGCTGAAAATAGTTGTCAAAGCCATTCCTAAACAATGGCTATGCTTATTACTGCCACTTTGAACTCTGATCTCAAAATGAACATGAATATGAAATGCTGCTAAAACCCAGAACTCCTGAACTAGCCTCCCGAACCTCCAATCGACTATTGAAAACCCACACAAAACTTAAGACTTACTCATAAAAGAGATAGACAATATGACCTGTCTTTAACGAGTTTTTCCCCAGAAATGATTAGCCTCCCTCCTGCTATTAAAAGATGAGCAACGGTCACTTCCACTTGCCTCAGAACAAAACAATCTTTAATACTGAATATCATCTGCTTGCTGAAACTATACCCGCCAAACAGCAAAATTGATCCCAAAACAATCACACCTTATGTCCATTGAATCTGAAACTTACTCATGCATGATTACTGCTGGGCTAAAATCAATATGAATGAGAACGCTGCTTAAATTGAATCTGAAACTTACTCATGCATGACTAGTGCTGTGCTAAAATCAATATGAATGAGAATGCTGCTTAAATTGAATTAATCCTTCAAAAAACTCTTACACCAATTGACTAGAATGAACTTGCTGCTCTGCCCCTCGAACCCCCAATTGACTTAACACTGTACTGAACCCCTCCAACCGTCCTTTTAAAGACCCTCAGAGGGTGTTCCATCAACATCAACGGAACATTGTTACACATCGCTTAGTTTTACCAGACTAGAGTGAGCCACATTCTAACATCAACCTTAGCGTATAGTTTTATGCGATATGTACATACATAGCTAACTATTTTAGGGAAGACAAGAGCGTCACCGTTAGTAGGAAGTTTTCCTAACATACAGTTGGATCTGGTAAGTGCTACATTTCATCAGTGATAATCATTCATTCAAGTGTATGTATCTTTCAGTTGAATGACTTTTGGGACAGCAAATTTGTCTTTGGCAGAAGGTAAGGTCACCTGATGCATTCAGCTGAGTACTTGGATCCAACAATCACTCATCGTCTTTTCAGACAGGTTTGCAAGACGGTTAGTACATTTAAAAACCCCAATTTTCTAGGTTCATTTGGTCAGTTTTATAGTTAGCTGCTGTCTTGAACATTGCAAAACCCCTGCCAGACACCTCCTCTATTACCAGCTGGCAATTTCTACTGCTGGAAACTGCTGGGGTTCTTCCGCTAAGACATTATTATCAGTGAAGGTGAGTTATAAAGTGGTGGAATTTAGTTCTCCACATAATATACTTTGCTGCTCTCCTGATAGTTTGAGGAAGGAGAGGGAGATTGCTCATACCTCCTGCTGTTATAGAGTCACTTACAAAATTTGTACTATTATTTTTGTGAAGGTATATCAACTATTGTCTGCTCCTGTGGTATGCAGCGAGGGTTCCTTTGCTTTCCCCCAGGTAGTCCTGACAGATGTGCAGTCTTTATTTTGCCGTATACTTATGAAACTCAATCCATCGTGTGGCGACAACACTAGAAAAAACGGCACAACGCCCACATCCACAGAACCTTTGAAGTTCCTACCAAACTGATATCCACCTTTACTGGAAGTGCTGTATTGAAGCTTTTTATACCTATTATAATTATTATAAGTATAATTATACATAGATGTAAGACTTTAATTTTCGTCTGTTTCTCATCCACTGTCTATTGTGTATTTTTGTATCATAGCTGTAAGACTAATTTCCATCTGTTTCTCATCCACTATAATTATAGGTCATGTAATCTGTGTTGTAAGACAGCCAGTATACTATGTTCAATAACTATGAGCTACATGTGCAATTTTGTGTGTGGTTCCCCTGCATGTGAAAAATTGATTCTGGTGAGTCTGGGAGTAGCTCTGCAGCTGCTTGAGTTCTGACACCAGATACTAAGCCAGTATTGTGACCCCCTTCATGAACCACTTTTAGTTGACTGCTGGCAACATGTATGATAATGACAGAAGGTGAGAGATGAGAGAATATGAGAGTCAGTGTTTCTTGTGAGTGTTTGTTCTGTGTCTCTTGGTGTGAGGGTTCCACCTCAAGTATATACTCCCTGTCCACTGTCAGCTGAGGCTTCCTGTACTCTGCACTCCTCATGTGCTCCTCTATGATTTTGCCAGTGACACAGACAATGTGCTGTCCCTTCCAGTACTTGACTGTGTTGAGAGCCTGCAGGGTGCTGATGATGTCTTCTACTGTGATGCTCGTCTGGTGGCTGCAGGGATAGCAATAGTATCATCATGCATCTTAGCTTTTATCGGACTTCAATAGCACTGTTGCAACAAATGCACTGATGTAGCTATTTACATGTTAAAGCAAAGTGCATTTTAGGCATATAAGCGGCAAAAGAAATTGCACCTTTGGATGTCTGCTTTAGGTCAAAGGTTTTTCTGAAAGATTGAGAGTTACACTGGCACTGCAAGATGCCCACAGTTTTCAAAGGGAAAATTTTTTAACATCTTAGTATCTGATTCATGAAAGATTGAGTAGAGGCTAGTTACTGGAGAGTTCTCAGTCGTCACTCAGTTGCTGGTTGTCTCCGGAGCATGTCTGGAGTCTTGTGGAACACTACCTCTGGTAGAGAGAATGGCCTCAGCTCTGTGAAATGCTGAACCTGGTAGAGAGGGAGGGACAGAAAGACAACCAGGATTTGAAGGAGAATGGTGAAAAGTAAGTGGGGATACTAGGAATGCGCACGCACATATTTTGCCTCGCGCCTGCCAGCCAATGCGTAAACAGTCCGACTGAGATCGCTCGTGCGCACGCTCTACTGACTGCGCACGCGAAGCCAGACTTCCTACGAATCTGCACGCACGGCGGAAGCTATATAGACTTCCTACGAATGACGGAAGTTTACATTCCTAAGCATGACTAATTGACATTCCCTAAGCGTGACTAATTGACATTCTTAAACGTGACGGACACAACACGTACGTATGTACGCATATCACGAGAATACAACCCGGAGAAGTTGCCTCGCACTAATGCTCTCGGCAATCATGCACTTTATAAAGATGAGGGGGGAAGAGGAATAACACAAGTGTGAGGAGGAAAAGCAGTGTGTATGCATTTGTTCATTAGGAGTGGTGTGAGCAAAACCATTCTTGTCACTTTACCTGATCAAACCAGCGGCAGACATGAACATACTGCGCCTTCTGCCCAAATGTGATTCCTGCCTGAACATAATAATCATAGAGTTGACACAATGCTTCCATATACAAAACATATTCGTACTACTGTCTATTCTACTGTTCATTCTACTACACATTCTACTGCCATTCTACTGCCACATTCTACTGTTCATTCTACTGTTCATTCCACTACACATTCTACACATTCTACTGCCATTCTACTACACATTCTACCAAGCAATCAACATAGTACATGATGCCTACCATGTATCTGTGGAGACCGTAGTAGAGAAGAATGTCAGCTAGTGAGAGCTTGTAGCCAGTCAGGAAGATGCGAGTGGTCAGGTGACAGTTCAAGTCCTGTATATTATTAGAGAGACAGTTAGTACAAAGACTAGGTGTGTGCTCACATGTCCACCTGGAGAACAGAGGCCAGCTTGTCTCTGGACAGAGCGTCCCACTGAGACTCGGTACGGACCCGGGACGTGTAGAACTCCACCCACTGCCTCACGAGACTCCGCCCAACTCGTCCATCTCCGCACAGGCACACGTCGGGGTGTGGGTGGGGGGAGTGTGACGACACGAACCACGAGGCTGCCAGGACAGACTGACGTGCATACCCCAACTGAACAGAGAGAGATAACAAAGCAGATTGGAAGTATACAATTTCCTAATTTTGTCCTAATTTTAGGTATTTCTGTGCTTGCGTACTGTATATCCATCACTATAGGTAGGTACCTCTTCAAGGGAGACGGTAGAGCCGCAGAACTGCTTCAGTAGCTCAACTTCCCACGGCTCGTCGCTAGACATCGTTGAGGTGGGCATCATTTAGAAGTCGTAACCTATACGCGCATGCGCAGTAGCAAAAGTGCTGACTCAGCACAAAACCAAAACGCCGAAGTCAAAGGCATCTGAAGCCCTCACAAAAAGCTCGTGGAGATGACGAGTCTTATTCTGGCAGGTCTGGGAGTGGCAGGAGTTGCTCTGACTGCTCGAGTGTTGACGAGGAGTCTGAGAGAGGTTCAGAAGAGGGCCGCGTCTCTGGCCAAGTCCCCCCCATGTTCACCAGCTACTACAAGGGCGGCTTCGAGAAGAAGATGTGTCGCAGAGAGGCCGGTCTCATACTCGGTAGAACACTAAT